ATCGACGGAACTGTGCGCGGTATTGCAAGGTATGATCCGGAAGCCGTGCCCCCTCTGATGGGTGGTTGTAAAAAAGCGCTTGGGTGAAACGGCGTCATGTATGTCCCGCTACATTTGTATGTCTACTTTGGCGAACGGTAGCTAACCACAACAACCACTCGTACGGGTTCACTTTTACGAACAAGGAGCAAGGTGGGTAACATCGACCCCTAGACTACAGGGAAGATTCCAGAGGTGCTTTTGCCAACACGACGCAAGAAAATGCACTCCGCTATATGCGGCAAACCTCACGAAAACATTGTCGGATGCAAGAAAATAGATCGACCACCCCGTGCGTCATGTTGTCGACGATGTTTGCGTCTCAGGCCTATACGCAACCAGCGCTTTTTCTACAACGGGTACAAGAGGAAGCACGCTATCAAGTTCCAAGGAGTCGTGACGCCAGACGGGCTGTTTGTTGACCTGTACGGCGCAGAGGTTGGAACGAGGCACGACGGCTACTTGCTTGCGCAGTCTGCACTACTTGAGAAGCTACAGACCTACATAAACAGCCCTTCAGGCCACCCGTATTGCTTGTATGGTGATCCAGCGTAAGGTCAGACCGATCACAGACAGTGCTCTTTTAGTGCATCTGTCAATGGCCCCCTTACGCCCGCAATGAGAAACTTTAACAAGAGCATGAGCCAATGCCGAGTGACGGTCGAATGGGGGTTCAAGGAGATGACTAGCAAGTGGGCCTTCGTTGACATGAAGTGCCAGTAGAAGTTCCTGCTGAGCCCTGTAGCGACGCAGTACACGGTAGCAACACTGTTGTCAAACTTCCACTCCTGCCTGAACGGCGGCAACCAGATTTCACAGTACTTTGGAGTAGAGCCTCCCACGCTGGAAGAGTACCTTAAGGTGTAAGCCTCAGCGGTTTGTCAGGGAAATATGTTGGTCCAATCGCACTTATGGTAGACAGGAAACTTGTTTGTGCCGAAAGGTTACGGCTTGCAAAGGGGGAAGTTGCAGATGGGGATGTAGTATTTCTTCCAATCAGGAGAGGACTTGTACTACCTGGTCATTAGGTTAAGAAGGAGGTTTCCGCACGAGGGCTAGGCAGTGTGAGAATTGTCACCACACCAGAGATCCCCAAAGGTGGTTTTGTTCCTATTCCACCGAGTGCTTCTGTGTTTGCTGGACAGCTGAGATGACGTCTGGCCTTTGCATCTGTTTCGTGCGGAGCTGGTTGCACGATGCACGATATCATTCGGGAGTACTGCAAGCGGTATTATTTCCTCTCAATGGCTGCCCCTTAGCCGTTCCACCTCCTTCCCCACCCTCTGTGGAACTTCGACTCAACACGCCAACTCCAGTCGACGTCGTTTTTATTTTTCAAACACGCGCTCTCTCTCCGTTCAACCAACCAAAAAAAAAACAAGGCACATGCGTGCACGGTGCAACACTAGACATCTCTTCCTCAGCATGTACTCACCCCCCCCCCCCCCCCC